GCCCCTCGTGGGGCCGTCTTGGAGGCCTCCTGAGCCTTCGTGGGGACCGTCTTGGGGGCATCTTGGGCCGCCTTGGGCGCTCTCAATGAAGACGGAAAAATTGATCATCCGCAAATCATATAAAATTCACACACACACACACACACACACACACAAACAAACAAACAAACAAACAAACAAACAAACAAACGAACAAACACACGTGTTCAATGATGTTGGCTTCTTGGGCTGGCCTCCAGGGCATCCAAAACGGCCCAAGATGCTCCCGAGAAGGCTCCAGGACGGACACTCAGACCATCGCAGGCCATGTTGGAGGTATGGTGTCCAGGCTACGCTCCACCGAGCCTACGAGAAACTCATGCGACCGGCCCCAGCAGCCACGCGAGAAGCTTTCAAAAAGCAGGCATTCAGGGGGCTCGGGGGCACCCTGCCGTAAGAGTAGCCAGTTGCGGTGCCGCTGGGCTCCGCCACTGGGCTCGGACAGCCGCCTGCAGGGAAAACCCTCCTTGGGGCCCTCTTGGCGGGCCTCTCGAGGTCTCGTTGGGGGCCGTTCGGGGGCCGTCTTGGGGCGCGCTTGGCCCGTCGGACGCCCTCGGAGGCCGTCGTTGGGATCTCTTTGGGCCATATGACGGCCTTTCCTGGGGCGCTTGCGGGGCCATCCTGGGGCCCTTTTGCGCCGTCTTGGGGGTCTCTGGGCCGTACTGGGGGCACACTGGGGGCCCCTTGGTCCTTCCGATTGGTGCGGAAGCCCGAAGGGGCGCCAGCACTACAAGATGTCCTGCACAGTGTTTGCACTGGGGGATCCTACTCCTGCTCCAATGAACTGGGCCTGTCTGCCGCTCTGGCGGCTATCATGCCGCCGTCGCCGCCCCGTCGCCAGCTCGTCACCGCCCGTCGTCTGCGCCTGTCTGCCGCCTTGACGGCTGTGTTGCCGCCGTCGCCGCCCCGTCGGCATGCCTCTCGGAGGGAGCGTCAGCTGACACACAACGGTGGCTCCCCGCCTGGCCCAGAGTCGCTCGGAGCCCATCCCCAGACCCGCCGCGCATCCCGCCCCGAGCGCCCGAGCTGCAGCGACGACGGCTCCACGCTGCTCCCGGGCGGGCGCCGCTGCCCGGCGGAGGGGGGAGGGGAGGGGAGAATTTGGCCTATGATGTTCCAACTTGCTTTCCTCTTGACTACCAGAGTGAATGTCGAGCACCAAGAGAACACCCCCAAAGCTCGAGGGTCTTCACATGCCGGGCCCTGGGAGGCACTCTCTCGGCACCCTTTCGATACTTTCTTGGGTGCTCGGCATTACTTCTGGGATGTAGTCCTCAAGCACGATGGGGGCAACATTTTTTCGACACTCTTTCGACACTCTTCCTGGGAGACACTCTCTCGACACTTTTTTGGGTGCTCGACATTACTTCTGGGATGTAGTCCTCAAGCACGATAGGGGGCAACATAAGAGCAGGCACGTGCCGCACCGACGGCAGCCCCAAGCTCCACGAGGCGCGCCGCGCCCACGGGCAGGCGAGGTCCCTGGGAGGCACTCTCTCGGCACCCTTTCGATACTTTCTTGGGTGCTCGAAATTACTTCTGGGATGTAGTCCTCAAGCACGATGGGGGCAGCATTTTTTCGACACTCTTTCGACACTCTTCCTGGGAGACACTCTCTCGACACTCTTTCGACACATTTCCTGGGTGCTCGAAATTACTTCTGGGATGTAGTCCTCAAGCTCGATGGGGGCAGCATTTTTTCGACACTCTTTCGACACTCTTCCTGGGAGACACTCTTTCGACACTCTTTCGACACTCGCGCAGGCGGTGGTCGGGATCGGATCGAGGCGCACCTTCCCCGGGGGGCACGAGCGCGGGAGGCGTCGAGGGCAGAAAAAAAGCGCCCCCGTCGGGCCCGTGCTGCTCGGCGGCGGAGGGCGCCGTGCTGATCGGCGGCGGAGGGCGAGGGAGGGGACGAGGGGCGAGCAGGCGGCGCGGCAGGGGGTCGAGCACGGGGAGGGAGGAGGGCAGAGGTGGTGTCGGGCCGGGCGAAAGGAGGGGATTGGGAAAGGGGGGATTACAAAATTTGCTGCATGCAGCTGGTTTCGGCCTCACCGGGGGGCCCATTCCTCGATACATAGCCGCCTCCGGCGCCGGGAGGCGCCGGGAAAGTCAGCTACGTGAGCTGGTTCTCGATCCCCCCCTTTGCTATCCCCCCCTTTCGCCCGACCCGACCCTGCCCTGGTTTACGAGAGGCGCTGTGCGCTGAAACTCGGGAGGGGAAAAAGCACACAGACACAATGAATCGTCGATGCCCAGGAAAATATACGAAAATATGGGAAGTGGGGGGGAAGACAAAAGCCCAGAACATATGGGAAAATATTGGGAATCTTTTTATTTGTGCGCATTTATTTGTGTAATCTAGGGCCCCTTTAGAAACTCCTGGGGGCCGACAGGGTGAAAACCCTGCGTGACGTGCCGCGTCCTGGCGGCTCTAGGCTTTGGGGGGTCCCAGGAGGTTTACGGACCGCGCACTTGTAACCCAGGGTAGGGTCGTTTTTGTTGTCCCTGAAGTCAGGAGGAAAAGAAACACACAGACACAATGAATCGTCGATTCCCCAGGAAAGTATGCGGAAATATGGGAAGTGGGGGGGGGGAAGACAAGAACCCAGAAAATATGGGAAAATGTTGGGATTTTTTATTTGTGTGCATTTATTTGTGTAATCTGGGGCCCCTTTAGAAACTCCCGGGGGCTGACGGGGCAACCCCTGCGTGATGTGCCGCGCCCTGGCGGCTCTATGCTTTGGGGGTTCCCAGGAGGTCTGCAGACCGCGCCCTTGCAGCCCAGGGCAGGGCCGTTTTTTCATCCCTGAATCAGGAGGAAAAGAAACACACAGACACAACGAATCGTCGATCCCCCAGGAAAGTATGGGAAAATATGGGAAGCGGGGGGGGGAAGTCGAGAGCCCAGAAAAGAGGGGAAAAGAGTGGGGAAATCCTGCTATTTGTGTGTATTTGTTTGTGTAATCTGGGGCCCCTTGTTGTTGTATTTGTTTGTGTATCCTGTTATTTGTTTGTATTTGTTTGTGTTCGTCGATCCCCCAGAAAATATGCGAACATATGGGGAGTGGGGGGGGAGACAAGAACCCAGAAAATATGGGAAAATATTGGGAATCCTGTTATTTGTGTGCATCAAGGAGGGGGAGAGGCGGGCAGACGGCGACGAGCGCGAACCGCGGGAGGCCAGGGCCGGCGGGGCAGGGCGGGCAGCCCGGCCGGGCGGCGCCTGCCCCCCGACCCCTCCCGACGAGAGGTTCTCGGGAGGTCCTCCTCACTCCTCCTCCTCCTCCTCCTCCCTCCTCCTCCTCCTCCTCCTCCTCCTCCTCCTCCTCCTCCTCCTCCTCCTCCTCCTCCTCCTCCTCCTCCTCCTCCTCCTCCTCCTCCTCCTCCTCCTCCTCCTCCTCCTCCTCCTCCTCTCCTCCTCCTCCTCCTCCTCCTCCTCCTCCTCCTCCTCCTCCTCCTCCTCCTCCTCCTCCTCCTCCTCCTCCTCCTCCTCCTCCTCCTCCTCCTCCTCCTCCTCCTCCTCCTCCTCCCCCTCCCCCTCCCCCTCCTCCTCCTCCTCCTCCTCCTCCTCCTCCCCCCCCCCCAAAAAAAAGGAAGCACGCCAGGGAGGAGTCGGGCGGGGCTATACCCTGACCTCCCAGAGTGCTAAGAAGTAGCACTCCAGACCTCCAGATCTGTCTGTGCTGCCTCACACCTCGATAGGAATCAGGACGTCGACGTCCTGGTGCTATGTTTTAGCCCTCCTGGAAGGTCAGGGTAGGACTGGGGCAGATCTCGCCGGAGCGGTCTGGAGCGCTTTCAGGGCATGGCGGAGCGCTCTGGAGCCGTCGGGCGGGGCCAGGACAGGGACAAGTCGCTCCAGAGCGTGGTGCTCTGAGAGGAGGCCGCGGCCCCGATGCATCTTCCGGAGCCTCCAGATCCCGGCGATCCCCGATGTTGTCCCTGCCCGAGTCTGCCCCTGTCCAGGCTTCTTCCGGAACTCAGGGGTGGACAGACCTCCTACCCTGACACGTCGATTTGCGAATTGGCCGTGTTCGGTTCGCGAGGGGGCGTCGCGGCCGTCATTTTTGCGGGTCCAGGTCCGCCGGTTTCGGTCCCAGGCCTTCTTCACTCAAGAGAGGTCTCTACAGGGAGGCTTGTCCACCGCCGAGAATAGGCCGCGGCGCCCGACACACCCTTGCAAACGACCTGTCGGGGTCCGACGTTGCCCCTGTTCTGGCTTCTCCTGGAACGGCCGCGGCGCGGCCGCCGGGCCTCAGAGATCCCCGCGCTTTGCCCCGTGTCCGACTTTGCCCCGGCCGTGGCTTCGTCTGAAAGGGCCGCCGCGGGCCCGACCGGCCCTCCTCCGGTCCCAGGCCCCCGACGTCGTGATGTTTTCACGCCGTCGACCCCCAGAGGCCTGGACCCCTTCCCGGGGACCGGTTTTTCATCCGGAGCCGTTTTTCATACTGTTCCAGACCAGTCCAGACCGGTATTTCTTGAGTTTCGCACAGCTCCCGAAGAGGGACAATTTCGTTAACCTTAATGTTCTGTACCGTTCACCACCGCCCAGAGTCTGAGGCAGGTATTCTGTGACATTTTCCTCTCGCCGGTGCAGAATGTGCGTCGCCCCCTTCCCCCCCCCAAAAAAAATTAGCTGTTTTTTCCTTGACGGTCCCGAGGCCCCGGAAGGACCCCCCTTGTGTTACGTCGGGCCTGTCCCCCTACAGAGGGATTTTCCACGAAAAATGCAAAAGATTCAAAAACTAGTCCGAAAGAGCCAAAACATGCTCACAAAATAGTCCCTGGACTATTTTTTAAATTATTTTTGAATGCAACCCCTGTGGAGGGACAGGCCCGACTTAACCCCTTGTGGAGGCCGCCGCGCTCTGCCACGGCGCGAGGAGGTCTGAGACTGGGCCTGCAGGGGCCCGCCCTCGACCCCTCGCCGGCCCTCCTCCGAGCCTGGCCCCCTGCAG